AACGATTTGTGCTGAGAATGGAAAAATTATTGGAACTGGGGTAAATATAAGAAGGAACAGGGCAGACTGCTGGTATCTTCCTTCCCTGTGATACTGGTCCAGGCCAAAGCTGAAGAGTTGAGAGGATGTCCTATTTGTTTTGTTTGAAAGAATGCTAACTGACATATTTAAAGCAGAGTGCACGTCAGTGGCACCAACTGAAGAAGAAAACTGTGAAACTTCATTTTAATTTCTGTTCTGGTGTCCTTTCTCTGTCAGGGCTACTTAAAGAAGCAATAGAAACAACAACAAAAGCCTTTGTGCTCTGACACAGACATTAAGCTCCGTTTTGCCCTGGTTTTAAAAATCAGAAAGAATGATTTGGCATAAAATACTTTAAAGAAGGCAGTGACTATTCTGATTTTGAAATATCTCTGAGTGAGTCTGAGCATAGAGTGCTGCAGAGGAAGTGCTTAGGGAAAAATTGTTCATCTGGGGTTTTAGAGTCAGTTAGGAACTTGTCAGTGCTGTTTTATATATGTACAAAGCTCGGAAGTCTTGTGCTTTCCTGACTGAATTTCAGGATATGAAATATTACACTTCATGTTGTCCCAATCTTTTTTGTGCTTGTCAGTAAAATACTGTACCTTGTGTTCCTGTGCTGTGACGGCTTGAATCACACAGAAGGAAATCTTGCTCTGTGAATAACCTACAGCATATTGCCGCAGAAGAAACACCAAAGCGCCCATAGGAATCCCGATAGTCTCCTTGCTAACACCATGTGCAGAGTTCTTGTGGCAGCTCAAAGCGAGGGCAGGTGGGGGGTTTTCACACTGCCTAAATACGGAGCTCAAAAAACTCTTGTGAGGAAGCTCTGTTTCTGAACTCGAAAATTTTGATGTGCTTCTGCTAGTGTGTTCATATTGTCTTGGTGAAGGTGAAATCAGGTGGCTGCACTATAGTTCCTTCTCACACAACGCTTTAATGTATCCACACAGGGATATACACTGGCTTATGCATGTGAGACATTAACCAACCTTTTATGGCTTAACCCACAGCTGTCATATTTTTGCTTGAAAACTGGTGCCAAGTTCTTTAAGAATGTCAGCTGAGATGAAAAATTCAGCATGAGATGTAACATCTGAACACTGTGCAATTAAGATTCTTTTTATCTTTTTCAAACTTGTTCTAGTATTTGCATTAGTATTTACCCCAGCACCCTTTAAATAAATGAGATGCTGTGCTCTATGATGTTGTATCCCTAGCAACAAAGATTAATTTTCCTCCACGCAGGCGAGACTGAGAATAAGGTATGTGCAGCTTGAAACACATATCAATCAATCTGCTCTGAAAACTGCATGTGAACTTTACAAGTAAGGCAACAGTACAAGTACTGCTACATATTCTACTCTTAAATACATATAATCTTCATAGAAGAGAAATCTGAACACATTTGTTTGATGTTTGTGAATACAAAACCTATCACTGAGGAAGTATTACTATGCAAGTTTTTTTGTAAGGCTGTAATACTCCAGAGGAATGTTTTAATATTCTCCTGCAAATTATTGTTTAAAAAAGAAAAGTATCAAGATTTTACAAGCCCTGCCCCGATCCGGTGACCATTTATAGTCAGGCTAAATGGTCTTACTAGATGTCTGTGGAGAATTGAGACTGTTTTTCTCTGTAGTGTGTTTTGTAGATAATGAGGCAAACTTCCACCATTTTATTACTCATTGGAATAATTTAATGGATGTAAATGAAATTTTCCAGACTCTAACTGAAGTGATTGTGTATGCCATCTCACCCTCTCCCCATGTACTTCAGGTGTGAAGAGATTTTCTTTCTGGTTACAAGTAAGCAGAACAAGACTGTCTTGGATACATCTGCAGAAGGGCTGCAAGATTAGCAGAGTATGTGTCCTGTTTTACTTCTGGTTCTAACAGCAAACATACAGAGGCTAAGCACTTAACTTTTTTTTTTTTTTTTTAGGCTATGCAGGAGTTTGATAATTGTCAAGAAAATACAGAGTTAATCCTTGTGAGAGGTGTAAATTTCCTTATGAACATCTGTCTTTTGGCAGTGGGGATTACTGAGAGCATTCCCCTATGTTTTATCCCCATTGCAGGGTGTGTTTGTGCGAGGGTGGGCCTTTCTAGGGCATGATTGTAGGGGGTTAGGTCAGTGGTCTGCCTAGCTCAATATTTTGTCTCAAGTAATGCAAGTAGAGTTTGTCCAAGGAAAGTGACATTTAAGCAACAAACCGTTCATACAGTGATCTTTTCCCAATTACAATCTCCCAAGGGGCAACAGTGTAAACACTTCCTGAGCCAGAGGCAGTATCAAAATCACTTTTCAATAGCTATGGATCCTCCATTAATTTAACTAATCTTTTTTTCTGAATGCCATTAAGCTTTTGATTTTCACAGCATCCTGTGATAAAGAGTTTGTGATTCCATCCTGAACCTTTTTCTCTTAATGGATCTTGCCCACTGTTCCTGTTTCATCAGCTGCTCAAAAGGCAACTGGACAGAGATTTATGTTTTGGGATATGGAGAGGATAGAACAGCATGTAATTCTTTGATCCTCTTGAAAACTATGAGAACTCAGTTTCCTGTTTTTTCTTGACAGGCTTGCCGGAAGCTTGACAATTTCAGTTGTGTAGGTGCTTTGACCTAGTATAGTACAGTCTCATTACCCAATCTGTAAATTGAGATGAGCTCGGCCAGGCTTAAGACCCATATTATAAGTCTATTATAAGTCACTTTTTCAACCCATGAGGTAATCATACCCTTAAATCTCAACTTCTGGTGGAAGGTTAGGACACTTGCCTGTATTAAATTTAATAAAGCTAGTGGATCTGAGCCAGACTTGCAGCCGATGTTCATGGCTGTTAAGTTACATTCATATGCGCTGATCAGATTAGTACATTCTAGTTTTCTACACTTATTCTGTTCAAAACCATATTAAGCTATTGGTAAAACAAAGTTTTGTACCTCTCTACAAATAGCAATTTGCCACTTCCAAGTGCAGCTTATGGATTTTCATAATAATATAGCTTTCTTACCCTCACCCCTGTTCATTCAACCTCAGTGCATTTGGCTGTGTGAAAAAGGAAAGGAGCCTGTTACTGCTAAAAAGAACTCAGCTGCATTTGTCTAAAAGTGATTTGGAAACTTGTACAGCTTTATCTCAGGTTTCACATAATCACTGCAGTCAGGAAGATTACATACACTCTTCTGGCAAGCTTTATAACCATAGAAAAAGAGCAGTCTTGATACAGGTAAGATGACCTTTTTTGGCTCATATGGTGTATTACAGGAGGCTGTATCGACAGTCTCAGATTGGTCTCTTGTACTTCATAAACAATTAAGGCTGCTGAAATAACAGACTTTTTTTGAACAGCAGTTCTGGTTTTCCATCTAGGGAAAAAAAAATGCTTGCAGCAGTTCACTTTGAAGACTACTTGCTTGTAGCATTGTTTAAATTTACAGTCATGACTCTTCAAGTCAAAAAGGAGAATTTAATTCCCAGTTAGTATAGATGGGCTTCTGGGTAAACTGGCTGGGTGTAGTATCCATGGTCCTTTGGTCAGCTGGCAAAGAATACTTGGAGGAGAAAGTCAGGCAGATGCAAGGGGTGTTAGGGAACTTCAAGGTATTGCAGTGAGCATATTCCACTTAGTATTAACTTACACTTTGCAGATATTCTTGTACTATAAATCTAGAATTGCCACTTCTTAAAAAAAAAAGTGTATACCAAAAAAGGAATCTTGCTTCAAGGCTGTTGAAATTACTTCTGGGAAAGCTTTTAAAGTTGGTATTCCTGCCTTCTCTCACTTATCAACAGAATAACACTTTTGTCTTGTTTTGCAAAAGAAAAATCATTTACACAAATCTTAAGAGAAAATGTACTATGTGCCGAAATAAATCTGTACACTGCAGTATGGAGAAACCACAAAATAAACCAGAATTTGATGTTTGAGCAACATTTCCTTACATACTCCAAAACTAGAGTGAATGTAGTTTTCTTTTTAGCCAGCACTTAAGTTTTAAAAAACAGGGATTAAAGTTGGACAGATGGACATTTAGAGATGCTTGGACATCTACTATATGTTTTTTAAACCTTCTACATGATTGGTACTGTATCGTGCCAAATACACACTGGTGATGTTGGAAGACAGAGTGGTTATTCTGTCTGTTCTGCTTGTTTCACTGATCCTTAGGGCGGGTTTTGTATGGAAACCCTGTAGTATTTGGAGTGAAACAGTGTGCTCTAAATTATTCAGTGGAATGGTGAATACAGGGATATGACACAGTCACAGGTGCTGTTCCCTATTCTGTCACGGGGGAAAGACACTGCCTTTTGAGTTTGGTGCTTTTGAGTCCCTTGGAGAATTCCTTTACAAAATACAGAAGCATTCAATATCAGAAGGTTGGCTTTAGGGTTTTTAAAAATCCTTACTCACTTAGACCAGTATTCTCCTCCCCTTCCCCTCCCCCCCACCCCCTCCAAAATCATAGGTTATATTATATTTAAACAGCTTTCTCTGTTTCTGTGGACAGCATCGCTAAAACTGGCAGTACATGTGTATTTAGGACTTTCTTTTGAATTAATTTCTGTCATTGGGAGAGTGCTGAAAGGACAGTTGTTTCGTGCAGGTGGTGGTAGTACAGCAGCAAAATAATGTGTCGCTTGACTGTGGAGTTTGCTTTGAGTCTGACAAGCTCAAAAAGAACCTTACTTGCTTGATGCTGAGAAAGTAGCATTTATTGCACCTACTGTTCCTATGGGGAACATCCCTGAATGAGCTTTGCAAGTTTTAAATTCTTCCACTGTTCAAGTTGTAAAATAAACAACTGCATACATATGTTAAAACTCTCTGTTAGCCTTTACAGTCCTGATAAAACTGATTATCCAACAGAGAGGATAAGTCAACGAGTATGTGTTTAAAAAAAAAAAAAATCCCATAAATTTATAGTTCCTGCTCTGATTTTTTTTTTTTTTTTTTTTCCCCCCTTTAGTTCCTTGGCATAGCATTTCTTGGGATTGGATTGTGGGCATGGAATGAAAAGGTAAGTTGAATATAGCACCAAACTCCATGTTTTTCCTCTTTCTCCTTTTCTGATGAAATATTGGAATAGTAATATGCTGCACATTTTGTGTCCACACACAGTTCTACTGAAAGAAAAATCAAGCTTCTCTGTCAAATAAAACTTTGGCTCATCTCACCTAAAGGAAGATCCTTGGCATTTTTCCCAAGAATGCATTGGCAAGAAATCATGGTTGACACTTGCACATAAAATAACCATTTCAATCCACGCACACTCAGATTGCATCTCAGATATTACAACACTTTACTGAAGGCAGTACTGGCAGTGTGTCTGCTGTGTGTGTCCCCAGGAATGGAGAGAGAGCCTACATGTCTCAGAGGGCAGGTTCTTGAAAATAAGCCCCCTCAGCTTTGCCTTAACACAGCATGCTAATTGCTGTTCCTCTTAAAACGAAACAGAACAAACCACCCCCAAAAAACCCCACAAACAAAAAAGCCCCAAAACAAACCACAACCAACCAACCTCCCCCCCCCCACACTAAACAAACAAAAAACCCAAAACCAAAATAAAATGAACCCTGAAAACCAAGCCAAACCTGAGATAGAATAGCTGTTGGTTTTTCTTGTGCAAATAAAACTATCCACTGGAACACTCAGTGTTGCAAGACTGTAAAATCAACTTGGAAATGGGAAGAAAGGGGTGTGGGGAAAGAGAAAACATTTCTGAACCAGAGCCAAATTTTTAGTTTGCTTGCTGCAGAAGTTGGGGAGATGAAGTATCAAGACATAGTATACAAAACAAGTCAGTATGTGTTGGATTACTGGATGAAGAGTTTGGCTTACTAAAAGACAACAGCTAAAATTAAAACCAGAGTTTCCTTTTCTTCTCAGTTTAAAAGACTGAAAATAATAAAACCTGGCTGATAACACTAGTGCTATGATATGGAGTTACATAATAATGGAAAACACTGAGTAAGTTATAAATTGATGTTCACTTAAGGCATAATAACTGGCACTTGCAGCAGAGCAAATAAGACATTGGAAGCACTGGAGTTTTGCCACTTAAAACTTCAGGACAAATTTTGCTGGTTTAGAAGTGAGTTGTTAACTTAGATTCTAATTGCTCTGTGCATGTGCCTTGGATGTAGATAATTACAAATAGTAATGGGATATTAATTAACTCACACTGTGTACACCCATATATATTTATAATTACATACCCTATTATACTCATATTGGATGTCTTGAATAGGCTTGGGGAGAGGTGCTGTTGTGGTTGTTTTTTTTTTTTTGTTATTTGGTTGTTGTTTTTTTTTTTTTACGTTTTTCCTGAATGGAAAAAAAAAATCCCCAACCAACCAAAAAAAAAAAAAAAGAAAAAAAAGAAAAAAAAAAAACATTTTATTTAATACTTGGAGCATACCCACAGAGATTATACCTATGTTTAAGTTCCGGAGATGAACTTTCTTCTAGAAAGCCACTCCAAAATAGATTTTAACTTTTTTGTGTCATTTCAGTAGGTAACAGAAATGATTCCTCTTTAAAATGAATGAGCAGGTAAAGGGAAAACAGCTATAGTCTAGTGTTCAAAATCTAAAACATACCAGACCTACATCTAGAAGGTGTTCTGGCAGAATAGTGGTTTGTTAGGTTTTACATATTTTCTATATGGGAAAGCAACCCCACTTGCTAGGAAAAATGCATTCAATTCATAATTGCTAATATCCAGAAGCCAAATCTCATGTTTTTAGTTGAGATTTGGACACCTATTATCAAGTCACCATAAACCATTTTTAATCAGATCCTGAAAGTGGGAGAAAATGCCATCTTGTTTTTAAGACAAGCAAGTAAAACCACGTAGAGCAGTTTAATACGCATTAGCTCAGGCTCCATACATAGTAGGGTTTGTTTTTATAGAAGTTAATAAATAAAATACTGTTTGTTGTTTTAAACCACAGGTCTTTGCTTAAAAATGAGCATCTCTCCCAAGCTTCTCTGACTGTTGTGTCCTGCGGTGCTTGGTGTGGACTGTTTCTGTTCATGGTTGTATCAACCAAAATGTAGTATAGGTATAGCTGAACTGCAGAGCTCCTGAGCATAGAGAGACTTGGGTTTTGTAGCAGGAATTACAGAAAAATGGACTTGTGTCAAGCCAGTTTGAGACCTTTCTTTCATTCAGCTCTCTAGAGGACAGGCAATGGCCAGAAGCTGCAGTCTGCAAGATCAAGCTCCAGATACTCATAGGCCCCATGCAACTTTTTGGTGGGCAAATCAGTTACATCCCAGACAGAGTTGTTCTTGCAGCTGGGAAGTCAGAGGCGAAAGCCAAGTAGGTGAAGCCTAAGACTTGGGAGATCTGTATATAACCGAAAAGCACTTCTCTAGCTAGACTAGAGAGGCTTCTCACCTAAGGGTAGCCTGGATATCCCTTAGGCATTCTGGGCTGTTGTAATAGTATACTGTAAGACAGCCTGTATGTGCTTTTAAGACAGTATTGTAAGTGGCTTTTCAGAGAAGGTACACGTGGTGTACACCAAATTGACCATGAGCCATCACTGTGCCCTTGCAACAAAGAAGGCTAATTGTGTCCTGGGCTGTATTAGGAGTTTTGCCAGGAGGTTGAGGGGAGGGTATTCTTCCCCTCAGCACTGGTAAGGCCACACCTGGGCCAGTTCTGGGCTTCCCAGTACAAGAGAGACACTGACATACTGGAGAGCCCGGCAAAGGGCTGCCTAGATGATTAAGAGACTGGAGCATCTCTCCTATAAGGAAGGTCTGAGAGAGCTAAGACTGTTCAGCCTGGAGAGAGGAGCAGGCTCAGGGGAATCTTAGTATATATAAATACCTGATGGAGAGTACAAAGGGGATGCACCTAGGCTACTTTCAGTAGTGCCCACTAACAGAGGCAATGGGCACAAACTGAAACACAGGAAGATCTCCCTGAATGTAGGGAAACACATTTTTTCCTTTTTTCCTTTTTTGTCTGTGTTGTTTTTTGTTTGTGTTTTTTTTTGGTTTGGTTTGGTTTTGGTGTGTGTGTTTTGGTGGTTTTTTTTTTTTTTTTTTTTTTTGTTTGCCTTTTTTTTTTTTTTTTTATTGTGAGGGCTACTGAGCACTTGGCACAGTTTGCCCAGAGATGATATGGAGTCTTCATCTTTGGAGATATTCAAAAGTATCTCCTGTGTTGTTTTGTAGCCTGGCTATCAACTTGTATATACTTTTGCTGCTTCACAGAATCTTTTTAAGATAAAAAGATGGTGTGCCAGGCCACGTTATTTCTTTAAATCTGGCATTTTTAATCCACATTTTACAGGAGTCCTGTTTGCTGCTGGCTAAAACCAGTTTGGGGTACATTTGTGGGTTTGGTGGCTAGTTTTTCCTTTTTGCTAAGTTGGCTTGAATTCTTCTCTTTAAACTTTGTTGTAAAGAAGAAAAAAAAAAGCACACTATACAGTCTCGTGACCTTCCTTACAGCCTTTGCAAGGAGGCGAAAGAGCTCATTTGTCACATAGGCAATAGAATTGGCTTGACAGCCAGTTAGCCAGCCCTAAACAAAACTGGGCAATTAGCATTCCGAGTCGTGAACCTGAGAGAGAGCTGGGGGCAGGGGCAATAAACTTGGAGGATGAATAAATCTATCTATACATGGATGCACTATATAGCTCAGTCTCACAGTGTTTTCAGGCACCAGACTTGGGCTTGTACCATAAAAATGTTCATCCATGGCAGCTGATTTCCATCCCCCACCCTACCCTCTCTCAATAGTGATGTGAACATTGTTAACTTATAAAGAGTCTTTACTAAAACCAAGCAACTTACACTGCCTTTGCTCAGCAGCAGAGGAAAAATGTTTATATTTCACTGGCATTTGTAACCTCTTCAAGTCATTTCTTCTGTTGACTCTTTAAAAATAAGCTCGACTTGCACAAAATGTCTATTTCTCTCCTTGGTTGTATGTATTAGATAATGTGGTCTTAAGGCTCATTGGGGGTGTTCATGGTATGATGCTAGTAGGTACTTGGGAAAATAAGCTTCCTGGTTCTCTTAACACCTGCAGGAGACTTCTATTCAAGAATACTGAGGCTGTGATGAATTGCTGTTCTCTCTTCTTAGACCTTGTAAGACTGTCTGTGGAGAGGTAGTTTTAGAAGGAAAGCACTGTGGTTTTGGGGTATACTTTAATTAAGAGGTAGCAAAGGTAGAGATATTAAAGTGGAGATAAAACCTGCAGATCCTAGCAAAATTTGTCAATTAGACTTAGTTCATGTATAAGGTTGACTGACATGAAGAGGGAGGAGTGGAAGAAGTTGATTATGTGCACAAGTTTAGTTTCCGAGCTTTTCTTCTTAGGTCAGTGTAACTAGAAGATACTTCAGCTCAGAAGTGAAGTTATTTTCAGTTTGGTCTACCAGTATGGTACCTCTATGTGCCAGCATAGTATTCTTAGCAAGCAGGAACTCTAAATCTGTATCTCAGGTTTTAAGCTAGACTTTTACATGTTGATATAAGGTGGTTTAGGCTTGTGTTGCGTTCTGGGACAGGCTAAACTCCCTACATAGCCACAGTTTGTCAGACTGAGTCTGTCTCTCCTTGTCCTGAAATGAAAACTCAGTTGTTTTCAGGAAAAAATTTTCACTTCTTTTACTGCCCCAGTGAGGAGTGGCAGACATCAAAAGGGAGTGTTACACTAGTCACTCCATAGTAGTTGTGCATGCATGTCTATCACACGGTTTGACAATGAAACCGTGCATGTGTGCTGTGGGTCCTTATGGGCTGAAGGATACCCAAAGCATATATCTTGCTTCTAAGCCAGTACTTTGTGTGTGAATTTTGCAGGACTGGGGAGGAGAGAGAGGGATACTAATATTTGCTATTACGTTCAATTTAAATCTCAGTATGTAAAGATCCATTATCTAAACAGGTTCTTAAATCATTTTACTAATGTTCTAATACTTTGTAACCATTAATCCTGAAAAATGGTAAAATCTCTATCTTGCATGTATTTATGCCAGTTATTTACCT